CTCTCTCTCTCTCTCTCTCTCTCTCTCTCTCTCTCTCTCTCTCTCTCTCTCTCTCTCTATATATATATATATATATACATACACACACATATATGTGTGTGTATGTATGTATATATGTGTGTGTATGTATGTGTGTGTATATATATATATGTATACACACACACATATGTGTGTGTCTTCCTAGTCCTTTAAAAAAAAGAAAGAAGCTTATACCTTTGTACCTTCCTATCCAGCTACCACCAATGACCTTCTAATGAATAAACTCACTGGAACCAATTCCACTGGGTTCGTACTTCTTGACTTCTCTATTGCCCATACACTACATCTGAATTCTCTTTCATCTTTTGACTTCAGAGACACCATATTTTACTAGCTCTCATCCTACCTATTTAGCCAATCCATCATTGTCTTCTTAGATGAATAACGGGATACAAACCACTCATCCCAATCCTGAATCCTTGAAGCAGATGTCTTCAGCAATGGTTCTGTCCTTGGTTGTCTTCCCTTCCCTCTCTACATTCTTTCCTTTATCAATCTCATTCATTCTTTTGGCGTTAATTGTCATTTCTACATACATGATACTCAGATCTTTCTTTATCTCCAGCCCTGAGTTCTCTTCTGAGCTCCAGACACACATTCAAACTGCCTACATGCCATGTCCTCCTAGATATACTGTTGTTAACTTAAACTTGCCATGTCTAAAACTGAGTCCATTCTTTCTTCCCAATTTATTCCTTTCTCACTTCACTATTTCCTTAAGTGGAACCATCGTTCATCTTAAGTCTCATGTTGCAAACCTTGGTATTATCTCTGGCCCTTCCTTTTCCCTCACTTCCCATAGCCAATCAGTTATCAATTCCCATCCATTCTATTTCTATTATGTTGCCTCTAACCAATCACCACCTCTCTATTTCTATCATCTGGTACTGCCATTCTCTGACCTGGGGTTCCAAATAGCTATAGCATGAGCAGCAGCCAGACCCAGTTAAACAATCTTGGCAAACAGGCTAAACCAGGTTGACGGTATCCAACAGGCTTCAAACCCAGCAGTGAGTGAGGAGACACCTGCCCCAAGCAGAATGGGTAGATGAGAACAATTTGTCCCAGTGGCCCTGAAAATGGCTGAAGCAAGCTCTGTGGAGTGCTTAGAGTTCAACAAGACATCAAAGAGGCCAAAGTCATCCATTGCATCCTGGGCCATAACCAGTTGTCCTGATTTTTGTCTTGCTGCTGGACTTTGATGATTCTGGAAGAGAGAGTGAGGCTGCCAACTTTATGCAATTCTGCTTCACTTAAATCCAATTCCCACTCAAGTTGGGACATCATTCATATGTCATGATGCCAATGGTTCCATTTGAAAACAAAGGATGAACAACACTGAACCCCAT